TTTAATTTACTTGATTGACAATCTAGTTCCCTGGTCTTTCTGACATGGCTAACAGATTGGCCACAGAAAGAGAACTTACCTCTGTAGTGTTTCTGTTTTAGTTTTGAGGCTTCCATGACTATAAGTGGCAGCATCATATCTTGACTTTTGTTTGACTGCTGCAGTCTTTATTTGTCTGCAAATAAATAGACAGAATGTCTCCAGTGACTATAAGTTTCTTCTTTATAAACTAGTATACATCTGATTTGCTTCGATCATAAATGCAGTCTTAAAGCACTACCATCAAAATACATGTATATGTTTTTTGTGAAATCACCATTTCTTTACCTGGATATTTCCATGTATCCATTTTTTATCTTTTTTTTTCATCTTTCTCCGCTAATTGTGATTTGCAGATAAAGATCTTATTCTTCACTGGGTGCCAACTGACTTCCCGTGCCAATCAGGTTTTTGTTCTAGTGGTTTTAAGATGACTTTGTCCTGGACTCGACGCAGGTGCGCCTGGCACTGTTGAGTACTCAAGCACCATCCCTTTTGATAAACACGATGCATCCTTGTGTTTGCCTGAGCGGCCACTGCAGTGTCACCCGTTGCTAGTGCTCGTGTGAGCCTGACGTCTGTAAAGGTGTGGTGGAACCGGGACTGTGGCATGCCAGGTCCTCATCAGAAGGGTGTTGGTTTGCTTGGCCTTTTAAGTTTCCCTTTCTAGAAAACCAGAAACCAGGAAAGGAAACCTACAAGTGGGGAAACAGCTGGTCAATAAAACCTGGCCCAGGTTTTGGCAGGCTCTGAGGTCAAAGTGGGTGTTATCAAACCAGAGTTGGCCAGATTCTTCTTTTTATTGGTTGTTGCATGTGTTTAGCTTCTGTTTTTTTTCTGTTTGTTAGTTTTTTGTCTTGCCTTTCCTCTTTGAAAGCTGTTTCATTTACAGTTATGAAATTAGGTTGCAAAACTGATCAAAGGTCGGACACAGTGCTGACATCACGAAGCAGAACCTTTGCATGGGAGTTTTCTTCTAGCGAGATTCTAAATGGCCTTCGATCACGACTAAAGTTTAGTCGACTTCTTCTCAGCTGTCTGAGGCCGGCCTAATCAAAGAGCTCGGGCTTTTAAGTTAGGGTGAATATTCTGGGTTGCTCATTATCACTCGCCACTCCTGGAGTGAACTGAGAAGAAGGAAATGCCCTTCAAAGATGAAACTCAGAAGCCCCGCAAACATTTTCCTCTGAACTAAATGCTGCTTTTCTGCCAAGGACATTATTAAGTGCAGATTTCTTTTCTTGAGAAAACCCTGCTAGACAGACAATGATTTATTAAGGTCTGTTTTTCGTTTGTATTTCATAGCGAAAGGATATGGATTTCATTTAGTGCGACTTCCTTTTTCTTTTCTTTTTTTTAAAGTCCTGAAAATATAGGTTTAGTTTGTGTGCTTCTCATTTTAGATAACAAATATAAAAGCAATTTTGATGTCCAGTTATTGTGATAGTTGTGGGTTTTTACTTTTTTCTTTTTTTCACTTACAGGTTAAAATCAACTTGATCAGCAAAAGAAGCAGAAAGCCCTCATTCTTTCACCTAAATGGTGAAAGCTTGGATCTGAACTTCTTTTTTTTTTTTTCTTCCACTCCCTTTGCCAGTTGGATTTTTTTCCCCGGCATCTCTCTTAGGAAGAGCAACTCAAATTTAAGTTACCTCATTTTGAAACATTTCTATGAACACTATCTTGAATTGATTTAAGGGTTTAGATTGTTGTACGCTACAAGGGCGTTCTTGGTATTCTTCTGTCTGACGACATGGCAAAGAAAAACAGTCAAAGGGGTAAGTACTTGTCTTCTAAACCTCTTTCTCTCTGTTTTTAATCCAATCTTGTCCGGAGATTTATCGTACACCTCACAGCTTGGAGGAGAGGAAGGTTTCGGTTCTGTTTAGAAGTGTGTAAGTGAGTAGCACCACCAGTGTCTAGTACAGTTTAATCTAATGAGCGATAATGTGGATTCATGCTGTGGACATTTACAGTGACATTAACCTACTTTCATACGCGAGGAAAACAACTTTTCTGATTGCTCCGCAGTTTTTTCCCGTCCTGCCCCCAAACAGCCACAGATTAACTTTGGACTGTGTGCTGACTCTTCCGACTCAGCTGCAAAAGTCCTTAGAGGCTTTACAGAAAGTGATCTTTTAGTCTGGACCCAGCTGTGTCTCGAATCTGCCTTTTTATTCTGTCTCTGATAATAGAAACCCTGAGGTTGGTCCGTTTGCAAGAACGTCTTACTGGAAGCCACCTCTAACTCTTTTTTATTTTATTTTCTAAAAATGTATTTTTAATTATTTTGAATCAGATTCCAGCCTGTTGAGGCGCAGATGCGATGAAGTACTTTCTTCATGCAGTGCTGCCTTGAAGTGTTCTCGCTTAAATGCCTTAACAACAGGTCCTTGTACCTCAGCGTTTGCTGTGGCCAGCTTTTTGATTTCACAATGTCTTCACCTAAAGGACACAGGCCTGCTGTCAAATGGCCCAGTGCCTGGAAGACTTCTCTCCGTAGAATGTTGCTATTCACCAATCAGCGGTTTCAATGAGATTTAGGATTCATGCATGCGGCAGACACTTTGAAAAATAAAAATTAGATTAAATTATGTGTTTCAGGAAATGTCTGTGAAAAGGTTTGGCAGTTTTGTTTTGCAAATTATTTTCTACACTGGTTTGCAAATCCAAGGCAGGGCCTGCACAGATGGTGGCGTGTATTTATTGGTATATCTTTCTCTTCTTTCTTTTTTTTTCCCACAGATACATCCGGTGTGGTGTTTGACACTCGCTCAAAAATGGTCATGTCCCAGGGAGGCACGGCGGAGAGGATGAAGGAAAAGGTAAAGGAGTGTTCACGTTCTGTGTTGAGAGGCGCTGCGGCTCCCATTTCAAACACAACAAGAAGACATTCATGCTGTTCAAGGCTTATCTGTTCACAGAACCAACTTCTTTTCCTTTTTTTTTAGATGTAGTTTCACTAACGCTGTTCCCCTGAGAGTTTAGTGATTGTGGTGATGGGGCCACGAGCCACAGTTCTAGTTTAGGAAAAAGGAAAGAGAAACCAAACAAAAAGCCTTGACCTCTGAAATGCTCACGTTTGTTTGTTTGTTTTCTGTCATCATAGGAGTCGTGTCATTGAGATTTTCAGCATCTAGACATTATAGACGTCCTTCGTTTTTCCTTTAAAAAAAAAAGTGCTCAAAAAGGAACTGCTCAAATGAAAACCAAGACGGCGATAGCTTTTACTTGTGCTGCGCTGGTCATTTGGCAGGTCAATCAGGGAGCAACTTAGGGGTTCAGTTTCAAAAACTGGAAGAAAAAGCCTGCTCTGTCAGTGGATGTTTTAGTTTTTTCTCGTCAAAGAGTTACTTACAGAAGGACGTCCTAAAAGATTTTCTGCAAGAATCAACAGTATTTTAAAAAGTTCTCATGTCCCCGTCTGCTTAGGCAGCAGTGCATGCAACGCTGCGTCTGTGGACCAGATGTGGCGAATTGTGCAAACATCCTCTGTTTGAATTTGCAGCAAAAAAAGTTAATCGCCTCTCCTTTTTTTTCCTTTTTTTTTTTCTTCTTTTCTCCTTTCCAGATCAGCGCCGTCAGGGCAGTGGTTCCCAACAAAAGCAACAATGAGATCGTGCTGGTGCTGCAGCATTTTGAGAACAGCGTGGACAAAGCAGTGCAGGCTTTCTTGGAAGGTATGAGGATGTCGGTGTTTGATTTCAGCGTTCCCCTCAGGGGAAGCACTTAGATTTCAGATCCAGTCAACATATATTGTCCGGTTTTGGGCTGCTTTCTTAAACGTCAATCCCTTTAAGTGCCTACTATTCCACCATATACACATTCCCAACGCTTCCAAGTTTGAAATGCTTTGAACTAGCTCAGACAAGCCACCAGCACGCATTCCGCATCTAGCAACCTTCCCGTCATGCGTGTCGTGCTTTGAATTCAGACGTTGAGCATCATTTGCATGCTTTTAGATTTGCAGGTTTTAAAAATAGACGGGGATCGTCTTTGCGCGTCACACCACATTGTTCTTGGTTTAGCGGTAGCTAGGAAATGCCTCAGGGCATTCATGCGTTGAGGTGGTATTACAAGGCTTTAAAACTGCCGCGTATCTTCCTTGGCTTGTCGTCACTGTGCGTTTTTGCTCTCTAGGAAGTGCGGTCGAGATCCTGAAGGAGTGGAACGTCACGGGCAAAAAGAAGGTAAGGCTGAGAAAAACAAATTTCCTCCAGTCACGTTGGAATGATTTTCTTATTTGTTACCACCTCATATTCAAAAAGCCTGCTGTGACTAAGCTGTGATACAAAGCAGTGTAAACTGACGTCAGCTCCAGCTGAGTTCTTTGCATTCCTGCACACGTTGAGTCATTCAGCGTCAGCCCAACAATTGAAGCAGAGATGGAGAATAAAGGAGT